TCATAATTCTATACTCTTGCCATTTCTATTATCAACGCTAAAATAGGTTTAGATACACTTCAGTGTTCATTTCAACATTACTATCCAACATGTCATAAGTCATAGAATTCAATTTGCCCTTAGAGAATAATATTAGGAATTGCCCTTACTTTTTAGGTTTTAGCTGTTAATGTCACACGACAAGACTCACCTCTTCCTCTCCGCTCCACCTCTCCACCTTTTACTTCAATATATATGTGGCTTATTAGATATTTAAGTATTCCATGAGAACTAGAAACAGTTCTAAATGCAGGTAGAGTTGTTCAAGCACCCTCATCTTTTAGTTCTGCAAATAAACAACTCCATATATAAACTTCCGGGTGGCCGTGCGCGATTTGGTGAATCAGGTAAGTAACTATCTTTGAAGGCCCTCTGCTAATGTCCCAGAGAGAACCTATTAGCTGGAAATGATCATGGAAGCTAAAAAATAATTTTGTCTTACTCCGCAGATATTGACTGTTTGAAACGCAAGCTACTGAGCAAGTTATGTGTTGGTGAAGAAAGTCATGGACCTGAATGGGAGGTAAATGTACACTTTGCTTGACATTATGCTTGTTTAGTTGCAAATTGTTTACATGCGAGGTTTCTTGATGTCTAGATTGGCGAATGTCTGGGAATGTGGTGGAGACCAGATTTTGAAACGTTGCTTTATCCATATTTGCCTCCAAACATAAAAAGGCCTAAGGTAGTTCTCATAGTATTATGGTTATTTTACTTTTCATAGCTGGAAGTAGTTCCTAACTACCTACTGCTTGTACTTGTAGGAGTGCTCAAAACTCTTTCTCATCAGGCTGCCAGCAAGTCGGAGATTCACTGTACCAAAGAACTTCAAACTTCTTGCAGTTCCATTGTGCCAAATTCATGGAAATCAGGAGGTATGTCTTTGTGGAAACACTGTTGATAATTGTAAACTCAATGGAAACAGATATTGCTTCAGTTTAGTGTCTCAATTTAGAATCAATTGCATAACCACCCTGCATTCTGTTGTGCTTCTTTTTTAACTTTGTTTAATTGATGCTGGTAGAATTCACAAACATGCTGATGTCTCTATGCCTGCCCACTTTTTCCCTCAAAATGCAACCAATTAACTTCTTTGGAATGGTGGACTGGAAAATATTATAGATCTTAGTCATGTGTTTTCCAGTTTAACGCTTACAAACCTGCCCCCTAAAATTTTCCTGGATGCTTATATTACTTGGAATGCGTGAATATTATTACATGAGCTTACCATGTTCAGTTGCTTGTTTTGTAGACTTATGGACCAGTAATATCAGGAGTTCCACAGCTACTATCCAAGTTCTCCTTCAACATTGTAGAACCCTGAAAACAAAGAGCATTAGATGCCAATAGAGTACTGGGTTGATGTAAGAAGCAAAGTTCTATATAGTTCAATACGACTTTGATGTATTAGTATACAAAAATGGATCTATGTACAAAGTTATTACTTAGTGAGAAATTTTCTTTATTTTCATCCATAATGTAAATTTCACGTTCTGGTTTGAATTTCGTTTATCTATAGGTTTTTCCATCCGCAGGTAAATGCTGAATTCTTAAGAGAATGCTGAACTTTGATTTCAGTGTTTAACTGCATTAAACTTGTTATAGATTCATTATATTCCGTAAATATTTTCTGTAGCATCTTTTTTGTGGTCCATTGGATAGGAAGCAAAATTTTTTGTTGGCAGGAGTGCTCAGGTGGAAAACTTGCCAATCTTTAAATCCGGAATCAAAACCGGCTTGCAGATATGCTTATGCTGTATAAAGTTTGGTACTGTTAAAATCTTGTTTATTGTATTGTCTGAACTTGTCTTATTCTATGTACCAAACGTGATATTGATTTCTTTTAACTAGTCTAACATTTCACACTCGGCCCAACGACTGGGTTGCCATATTCTACCGGGTGGTGGTCCATGACGTGATGCAAGGTTGGCTATTGATTGCCGACATTATTGGTCAGAGAAACAAGACAAATTTGGGAAAATAAACAGTGGATATATGGGTTGCCATTTAGTTATGTGGGCTATCAGCCACAGTTATTTTCAAATGCAAATTCATGTCCTCTTTAATGTCTCGAGAATTTTTCATTATTTATGACTTTTCGTGTGGGGTTCAAACATTGGAAAAGTTGCCAGTTATTTTTCTAGGACGATCAATCTACATCTTATGCTACAGCAATGGGATCGTGTCTCGATCTCCTATTTATGGAATCTAATAGACTAGTTCCTATTAAGATTCTTCCTAATTTAATTTCATGCTTATGACAAAAGTGGAGTCAACTCGAGAATGCCTACTTTCATAGTTTTGGTGGGGGATTTGTCCTTTCTCACTTGTGCTTTTCTTAATTGGCACCGTCCATAGTTAATAAATTGGCTATAAGGATATCGTTATTGGAAATTACCTTTGAGTCGTCTCAATCTCCGATCCAAGAAATCTAATAGACTAGCTCCTATTGAGATTCTTCCTGGTTTAATTTCACGCTTCATATAAAAGAAAAGTCAGCGTGAGAATGCTTACCTCCATACTTTTGGTGGCTGTGATTTGCCCTTTCTCATTAGTGCAACTCTTATTTGGAACTTTTCATACTTAATAAATTGACTTAA